GATACTTATTTTTATGACTACTTTTATTTTACACTCATTTTTATTGTTATTTTTACGTATTATTCATTGTATGAAGGGGATGGTATTTCATGGTCTTCACTTCTCTAATACATTTGTCTTTTAACTTGTAAGCTTCTTGTTCTAATTACACTAGTTATCCTACAAAGTAATGTTCCATTGTTAGTTACTTTTTTTTTTTGTAAATCACTGATTTGTTAATACAATAGGAATCAAACAGTTATATCTAGTTCTAGCATTAAAATTGAATATTGAGTCCTTATAGATATTGCATTTAAACTTCCCTGATTGGTGTTGATTACTTCATGATATAAGAGTTTCACATTCTTTAGCTATATCCTTTAATGATAACTAAGTGTTATGCAGATTGCTCATAACGATCTCTTTCACAAGCAAAGTAAGCTCATTGAGAATGATTGTCATTTTATTCATCATCATGTCTGTAAAAGCGTCATTTTGCCAATTTCTTTTTCCTTCGCAAATAGGATTATTAAATTTTCACTAAGATTCATCCACCTAATCAGTTTCAAGATCTAGTTTCTAAACTACAGTTAGCTAATCTTTTGCGACCTTGAGTTGAGGGAGAATGTTAGAATATCGTATTTATCATATTAGTTTGCTTTACACTTAAGTCTTAATTTAACGTTATTAAAAGCCTTAATCAGTTGCCTTATTTAAGTAGGACTCTTATCTACAAATAATATGTATGATTCACGAAGAGACATACAATAATTTTTTTTTTTCACATTTTTAACTGAAGTAATGGGTACTATTTGACAAATGCTATTTTGGGTTTTTTTTTTTGAATTACCTGAATGGTATAACTTGTAAGTCAATGGAAGTTTAGTGTAAAATAGGAACACTCATAATATGCTTAAAGATATAATCTTAGAAATTTTTACTCTTTGACTTGTTAGGTATGCTCAACCATATACTTTTTAATTTTCCTTTGGTAAGTTATTTGGTCTTCTTAGGGAATGTCTTTATTGAGCCATTTTTTATATAGCTTTATTTGGCTTTTGATTTTTTTCCCTCTTGAAACTAAGAAAGGTTTTTAGGTTGTTATGATATCTAAAAATACTTTATTTATATTTTTTTCTCCAATAAAGAAACAAAGTCTCTTTTTTACAAATATATATATATATAAGGAGATAGAGAAAAAAAATAACCATTTTTCTCTTTCATTTTCTCCCATGGTCTTTTGGCCATGGAG